GGAAAAAGTGTATTTTCTGGGACGTGAGGTTGGTTCAGAAGCCTCCATATTTCTAACTCTAGCACCTGTATGTTCTAAAATAGTGTAGGATGTCTTTTGATTTGTGTTTAACCTCAGATTTAGGAGGGCTGGAGGCAGAAGGCAGAGAAGAGACTGCTGTCTTATGTTCATTTATAAATGAAGGTTTTGTGTTGAAGGAGTTTCTCACTAACTTCCTGGGCCTCCACATCATGTGAAGCTGTTTTACTTTCTTGGGGATGGCCTCCAAAGATCCTCTTCTTTGGCAGCATTCTTCACAGGTGGCTGGGCATTCTATATACTCTGACACATCAGTTTTTTGATGCGTTTTTTGATTATGTCCTCTGGGCCCTTGAGGACCCTATCCACTCTTTGCAGCCTTTCCCCTACACTGTCAGTCTTTGCCGTACTGTTTTCCTGTGGTTGGGCAGTTTCCAATTTATTTTGAAAGATCTGTTGTTTAAATTTGGCACCTAAAGTGTCAGCAATGTACAAGCATGGCAGTTTTTTCTTTGTTTCTATTCTCTTTTTTTTTTTTTTAATTTCTGAATCTAACCATTTTTTCAGAAGATAGAATCTCTTCAGTTTATTTTTATAAGGTGAATTGTTGGATTCAGGTTTAACAGAATGAACAGTTCCTTGTGTTTTTTATCAAATAACCCAGGGGCTTATCTCTATCTTGTACATTTGAAAAAAGAAGTTTAATGAATGGTAAAAATGCTGTTTCTAAATCCTCCAGATTTCCCTCTGAGAAACAAGGCAGTACGTAATTTAGTGCACTGATAACATCACTTTTGTCATTAAAATCTACTTGTTTATTCATGAAGGCTGACAGGCTGACACCACGTCTGTCCGAGGACGCTTTCTCTGGCTCAATAATGAGCTCAGTGCTGATGCTCTTATTCCGGGCTCGTAACACCTTCATGAATGATCCTTCTACGTTCCCTACAGCTGCTTCTTCACCTGTCAAAAAAGAAGTCTTTTTGGTAACTGAAGGCTGATGGACAGTTTTTCGCCAGTCCACAGCCACATATCCCAGTCAAATAAATTAGAAATCAGCAAATGTCTGGGTGCCACTTAGAGAGGGGAAAAGAAACCTCACAACAGAAGGTGAAAAAGATATATTTTGAAAAAGTGGCTATCTACTCAGAAAATTCCATGGTGTGAAATAGAGTGACAGTGTTTAGGATTAGTCCACTGGTTTCCAGGGGCCAACTGCCCGGCACTCAAGAGAAGTCAAGGCTGGCTGAAGGACAGCTGTCCCCCACTCAGCAGGACGCTCTGCAGACCCACTGTAACTCCTCACTTCATACACACTGCCCCGTCCTGCCTCAGACGCAGAAGAGTGCGAGGCTTCCGCTCTCCGCCTCCTCAGTGTGCTCGTGTCCTGCTCCCATCACAGGTGATCATGACAACACCCGCTAAAAGGTCCTCATCTGGATGTGACCTTTTCCAACTACCACCAGTTCCTCTCCTTGGTCCCTGCTCCCCTAGATCCCAGCCCCTATAACAGAAGGCTCTACATAGAGAGAAACACCATGTCCACCCTGGCTCTCTGCTAACACTTGGGCAGGGATCTGGGGTGCAGGTTAAGAGATTTGCCAGGCTTTATGCTAATGTGGAATGTTCAACAGATCAGTGGAATAATACTTGAAGTCCTAAAACGCAGATGGGAAAAAGCAACTGTTGTCAGATGCCTACTTTGCTTTCATTTCATTTCACTCCTAGTATATCCAGCTTTACCTGGGGACCCATCAAAACTTCTGACTGTGTGAAGGTCATGTGTACCCCTGTGCAGCTGGGTCTCTCTTCCAGAAGGATTAAAAGTACTTTTGGTGGTGGTGGTGGTTACGGTCAGAGGAGGAGGTGAGGGTCAGAGGAAAAGGTGAAGGGTCATGAGAAAGGAGGAACAAGAGCTCACAGACAGCCCAAAACTGAGGACAGTAGATCAAGGCACTAGGCCACAGCACCTAACACCTCTGATCTTGCTTTTGCTCACCCATAAAAGGAAATTAAAAATGCCTGTTCTGCCCATTTCTGGGGAGAAGGGAGTAATATAATCGGTAAAAAAAAAAAAAAAAAGAGGAAAGAAAGAAAAGAAAAGAAAAGAAAAAGCTGGAAAATAAGCAACATTTTTATGTCAGTAGCAAAATGTTATTATTTATGATGTGCTCCAGCTCATCGATAGGGACCAGTATTCAAGCTGTCTGGGCATGAAAGCACATTTTGGAAGTCATCAAGTTAAGTGCCAGTAAGTCTAACGTATAGAAAAATCCTTGAAAGCACGTGAGTGTATTGTGGATAGAAATGATTGAGATTCAGAGCAAGCTCAGAGCTGGACAGTCAAAGAATAAAAGAGCCATCCCATCCACTGGAAGCGCTAGGTAGCAGCTTCTGGTTATGGAGCCAGAAACTCTCAGGCTCCAAATAAAACATAAAACACCACCACTTGTATTCTTTTATAAAACTGCAAAAACAAAATGAACAAAAATATACTTATGCCTGCCCTATAAGACAAGTGGAACTTGAGACCTAATGAATATTAAATCAGTTTACAAACTGTGATGCACTGTAGGAAAAAGTTCTCATTTAGGGGTAAGGCATCAAGCAGAGTGCACAGTATAAAATATGTGGCCATGAATGTTAATTCCCTTCCCGTTTTCATGGCTTTCTCTTGTTCCTCTATGTATGTGGATCAGTTACGTTAAGCTAACAATGTAACTGAGGTATTATGAACTTAATAATGTAATTGAGAATCTGACTTTTAGCAAGGGAGTAGTTCTTAGAAATTTAGGGAGTTGAAACTCGAAATGAATGAATAAAAATAATTCAATTACATCATTAGTTTAAAAGTTTTATCATTTAAATTTAAAAATTTCTTATCAAGCAATTCAGACTCACCACAACGTATGGTGCTTGCCAGGCAGTCACTGTCACAGTGCAGCTTGACTGTCTTGCAGACAACTTCAATAGTATTTTTCAATTGGCAGAGGCAGCAGGTCCTATGGCTAGGTAAGATCCTATAAATGGAAACAGGGTTAAATTAGTGGTAAAGGAGTGACTTGAGTAGGGAGGCAGGCCAAGGCCACCACAGGGCAGTGAAGAAAGGACTTCTTGGGGCACATGGCCTAGAGAATTGGATAGGGACCAGTTGGCCAATTGCTGCTCTTAACTGTTGTAAAAAAATGCAGAGGAGTACAGAAGTGACCAAAAGAAGGGTAAGGATGACAGTGGGTGTCGGTGAGATTAGAAAAAAGGTGAAAGGGATTAGAATTGGGTGACACTGATCTGTAGTTTAATTCAGAAGTATCTCCTCCCAACCCAAAAGTTTCACTTTGGGTTGAGAGTGCACAGGAAGAGGGTAGACTTCTAAGAAGAGTCTGAGTAAGTCCCCAACTTCTGGAGTCCCTTTCTCAATTCCTAGTTGTGAGTAGGAAATATATTAGAAATTACTCTGGTCATCAAGACAACATGATATTGGTACAAAAACAG